CATTGCCAATGGATTTCATCCTACCACACTCACGAGGTTAGTCTGTTATCACTCACCTTGGGTCATACTGGAAGCACCCAAGACTAGGACCTCCTGCTACTACTCATGACATGGTTCAATCCACTCTACATGAAAATGATTGACCATTGTAGTTTCAAGATAACCCCCAAGACTGAGCTACCATGCAAATCATTCTAAAACACACCAAGGGCACCACCATGGATCCTCTCCTTGAAGATCATGGAATTATGTCCAATAATCACACTTGTTACTTTCAACCGCCAACCATGTCTCATACATTCACATACTTTCAATATAATCATATTACCACCATCATACTATGCATTCCAATCATTCCACACACTTAATTCAACCAAAGCAAGAGCAAATGAGAAATCTGGACTCAAAGGATTCGCAGAGTGCATCCTACTTGCAAGGCAGGACAAGAGAGTCTCGCACAGCGCACCCCTTAATTCGCTATGCAAATTGACTTGCAGCATGCATCAGAATTCAAACCTCTCGCATAGCGCACCCAGGTCGCTATGCGAGAGCCTAGACAGAGAATACCCTTCCCAAAGACTCGCTATGCGCCCAAAATCGCCCTTCGAATTAAAATATTAGTAGTTTCAGACCATCAATTGCATAGCAACAGGATTCGCTATGCGAATCACCAGATAGAGAGCAGCACCCTTCAGTTATTCGCACAATGCACCAGCTTGCACAACGAATGACTCAAACAGAGATCACCCTCTACAAGGACTCGCTATGCGAGATCATTCGCATAGCGAGTCTGCATAATCTGCAGAACGCAAATTTTGTAGAATTATGCAACTCCCACACCCTTTACCATTTCTAGTCTTTTTCCCCAACTTTTAACACCCTTAATTCATGTTTTATACTTAATTAAACTTGTCTAGATGTTTATAAACGTTTCTACTACAATTCTAAAGTGGTTTAGGCTCAAATTCTACTCTAGAACACCAAAATCAACAAACATAGGGACCCAAATCCAAATCTACTACTTGAAACTCGTTTTAGACCAGTTTGAGGTTCCTAACAAGTCAAAATTAACCTATCTGAGCTATCCAAACAGCACAAGAACACACAAGACCTCCAATGCCCAAAAGCACTACCTTACTTCCTCTCAAGTGACCTAAAATCCTAATAGTTCACTCAACAGAGTGTATGCTCCCTTACCTTCTATCTGAACCCTCTTTTTAACAAAACTCATACCTTAAACATATAAAATTTCAAATATCACCTCAGCCCAACCAATATTATCATATTTATTAATATATATAATTAATGAATATGATAATAAAAATTAGAGAAAAAAAAATTCAGGAACTAAAGTAGTAGGAAAACTAAATTTTAATGATAAATCACTAACACATAATGGACTTTATAACATCAATCCATCAAATATTCAGTCAATGAAAATATTAATATAAAAAATTAAGGGTTTTTGTGATTAAAATATAAAACTTAATGTTGATTGGATTGTGGACATACATTTATTAGAAACTTGACATCAGTTCCCTTAAATCCATAATTAAAGGATATCGATGACTCGATGTTCGTTGCAAAAGGACATTCTCTCCCTAATATCATCCAACATCAAAATGTTAGAAAAAAACTAACACAAGAGTATTTTTCTTCATTATTTCTTCACGCTTTCCTTTGTTAGACCTTTTGAACCCTTCAAGCAGTGGTTTTATTCACCCTCCAACTTCTCTTAAAGTTTAGATATGTACAGTAAATAATGAATATTGAAGTTTGGTTTATCTTGGTTTAAGTTTGAATATAGTTTGATTTTAGTTATGTTTTTTATTATTTTATTTATTTTAACTAAATGTTTTTAAGAATTTAAGGAACTTTGTTTTAGGAAAATTTTCTCAGGAACTTTGTTTTAGGAAAATTTTCTCACATCTATTTTTTTCTTTGTGAACATGTTTGTTTTATTTAAATTTGTTTTCTTACAATCAAATTAACTTTATGTGAGTCTTAAAATGAACTTTAAGATAAAAAATATTGATGATATTTAATTAATTTTTATGTTCATTATTAGTTTATTTTAAAATTTATTAGATGATTGATTAAATTGTATTTTTATTTTACACTGAATATTTGATTAATTTTAGATTAGATGTTTTACATTTAAATTAAATGAGTCAAATATAAAAATGAAGAATAATTGAAGCAATTCATATATTTTATTGTAACATCATGCTTAATGACAAATGTAAAGCTGGAAATTGAAAAGGAAAATATGCAATTTTATTCTGATAAATATATCTTACTTTAATAATTTGTCAGGCTTAATAAGTTTTTGCTTTTAAACTCTCCAAACAATTATTCAAAACATTGGTTGCAGCAAGAAATATGTGGAAACTAAAAGAGCTTCTGCTAGAAAAGTGTGTAGCATTTAGTGTTTATGATGTCTTGGTGAGAGGTAAAGGGTAATTAAAAGCTCTAAAAACAAAGAAGGCAAGTTGGTAACTGGATAAGGATTGTGATCAAACTACCATCATTAATACATTTCTGATAAGCTTAAATTTTGACCTATCATCCCAATGTTATACACTTGCCATATCACATTTTCTACTTTACTTTTCACTCACACCTTCACCTACTCTGCATATGACAAGAGATGCACAAAACACTCACCCAGACACCACAAGCTCAACTCTCTCCCTGTGAATTTCATTATCTGCTTTCTTCCACCTCTCTTCACGTGCAAATATGTGCAACCACAACTCATTTAAGGTTAAAGTATTTAAAATTTGTTAAAACTTGTTTATATTCATAAAAATACAATTTTTTTAGGTAGTGGAACATTTCCTAATCCAAATTCATATTAAATTTACTAGCTAATGATTCAGTCTGGAATGTTTTTAAAAATTATTTAAACTGTACTTTTTAGTAAATTAAATTATATATATATCAATTTTGTCGTATAATGAAAATGTCATAATTAAAATCCAATATTCTTACTATTTCTCGAACATCCATGTGACTATGTTGGTTCAAATTTAGATAACATTTTACATTGTTTTTTTTCTTTAGCTAAATGTCACACACGAGGTTAAACTAAAACACTCTTTGGTTCAGGCTATAAAAAGTCGAGAATCTTCACCAAACATTATACCTGAACCATATGATATATATTGATTTAGATATTTATGTTGCCGAAAATGATTAATATTTTAAGTTTTTGTTTTTATATATATTATAGGCAACAAAGCTACACAAAATTCAACACTAAACATAACAGGGTTTTTTTATCTTAGGTATAATAACATTTAAACAATAGACATGTAACAAATTTAAATAAAAGGTCTATTTCCCCATGTCAAAAACAAGGGTAAGAAAGCTAAACATGTAAATTCCTTATACTAATGGAAACCCCCCACGGTAACAGAAGCTTTGCTCTCATCTGCTGGCTTCGGATTTGGCAGCAGAATAACAGCTAACACTGCACTCACGGCAGCAGCCACCGCACCCAACACAAACGCCGGCAAGTTACCACCACCAAACCATTTATCCCATTGTCCACTTATTGCTGATACTATCATCTGTATATATAAAAGTCATGTATACACAAAAATTAGTCATAAAGTTAATCACCATAATAATCATATGATATTTTGATATAAACTTTATCAAATTAACAATTGTGATAAAAAAAATATATTAATTTTTTTAAAAAAATATGTGCCCAAGTTTAACCCATCATGTAATTATGTATTCAATTCTTAACATAGTTATGAGAAAATATATTAAATTAAATGACAAAAATATGTTTGTAATGTAAAAGGATTCTTACCTGAGGCACGACAATTGAAACATTGAGGACGCCCAAAGATAAACCTGAACATTGAAGAAAGGTTAATTATGTATATAGACATTTGATTTATGACTACAGTAGTTTGCCAATTTTTTTTCTTTATACAAAGTAAATTTCACAAACAGTAATTTTCTAAAAATACAATAATTATTTAAAATATAAAACATAATAAATGATATTGTTTGCTTTACCTTGGCCTGCACCTGAAGCACTGGAGTATATAGATGCTAGAGCAAATGGAACACTGAAAGTAATCTGGGTACACATTGAAAGTATATATATTAGTTTATGACACATTGATATATAATTATATATAGTAATCTTTAAATACTTTTATATATCCTCTCTCAGATAATGGTTTTAAAATTTTATAGTTTGTATAACCTTTTTTTTTTCTTCAACATTCCAAAATAAAACAAAAAAAAACCAAGGAGTTATTACTTTATAATGGTCAACATTTAAGGACGACTTAATTACGCATTACACAAAAATTAATCTTACTAAAAAATATTAATAACATATTGAATATTTCAACATCTAAAAAAATATTAAATGTATTAAATAGTTACCAAATCAGCTTGCTTAAAAGAGAAAAAAAAAATCTCTGAAATTAAAACATCACAAAAATGGTTTGAAAACATTTTTAGATCAGAAGAAAAAAACTGAAAAAAAAAAGATAGACAGACAATAAAAACATTACAAGAAAGAAAGTAATGGTTATACCGCTAGAGGGATTCCGAGGACGGAGAAGAAACTCAATGCGCCAGCTTTAACAGCGGTAGAAGGATGACCAGCCATGACGCCGTCATGCCTCCGTTCGTTACGTGCAGCATTTGTGATCACCACCGTCATGGCCATGCCAACGGCAAGGATAACGTTAACGATTGCCCATAGCCACTTAACTCCTCCGACAAGACGACCCATTGGTTCCACCGCCAATGACATCAGAGCTAAAACGACTGAGTTCAACATGAGCCCCAATGAACCTGCATGCACACCATCATTGTATGCTGGACTGCCCACATCACCGCCATACACCTCACGACCCATCCAATCAGTATCGAACAACATATAAGGGAACCATGCGACCCAGTTAATGGCGGTTACAAGCATCAACATCAACATTGGTTTTTGTAATTCCTTAAAGGCAGCACCCAATTCACCAAAACATGAACACAACAGTCCAGTTTGAACGTCTTGGTTTTCACCGTTGTTAGTGTTGCCAGAACCGAGCTTTAACTGTGGATCCTCCACGCAAGTGAGAACAATAGCACAAAGAATAAGGAGGAGCAGTATTGAGAAGAAAAAACAACTTTTCAGGTTTGCACAAAACACGTCACACGCCTTGGTTTCAGTGAACGGGAAAATACGATGGAGTTTATCATAGGAGCCAGCGGCATAGCCAAGAACGTTGCCAATGGCCATGAAGAACGAATAAAAGGCATTGGCAGTTCTGGTCTTTTTCTGATCTCCAGCGGCAAGATCTCCGAGAAAAGCTCGGCATGGACCCTGAAGCATGTTGTTAGCAACATCCAAGATCCAAAAGCCAATCACAAAAATGGCCACCGCTCGTGGACGCGTCTTTTGGGTTAAATCGTCACCGGTGGCGTGTCCTATATCAGCCGCATAGCCAATGAGAAACACAGAGATGGCAACGGCAAGCGCACCACTCATGATGAATGGACGGCGGCGGCCAAAACGGGAAGTGCATCTATCACTGGTGTACCCTACAATGGGCTGCACAACCAACCCAGAAATGGGGCCACAGAGCCAGATGAAAGAGGACCAGGCATGAGGAACTCCCAAAGTCTGAACATAGGGTGTTAAGAGAGAGAGTTGCAGGGCCCATCCAAATTGGATTCCCGCAGCAATGGAAGAAACAGCAAACATTTTTCGGAGGGGACTAGATTGTTTCCGCTCTGCTGTTTCCACCTGAAGCGAAGAGGACGAAGGCTCCATTGAACAGATCTCCCTAAAAACACACCAGTGTTTGATTCCCTTCTATGAAACAAAAGGAGTGAGAGAAAATAGTGTGAGAAAAAGGGAAGAATTGGTGAGTATTTAAAGAGTGAGGATCAATAAGTGGACAAAATAAGAATACTGGAAGAGCCGGTATCAGGTGATTTTGTGATTTTTAGGGGAAACCCCTGAATCCTTATCAGTTGTTGACGTGGAATGAATATAGTTTTCACACTGTGTAACGTAATCCAAACTTTTGTTTGACATTGATTGTAAAGGACTGCATTTATTAACTCCAATTAAACCTTTTATTAATTTTTATTTTTTTAATCATTTTCATTACTGTTTCTTAATAGTAAAATATGGCTACAAATAAAAAATTCAAACCATTTCAAAATAAAATGCTTCAGTCTATTAAAATCAAATCACACTAACTAAATTTTGCTTAAAATTGGATCAAAACCCCATGAAGACTATGAAAGCAGCAAGAGTGATTCTCCCTTCACCTCACCGCTTTCGTCCTGCACCTCCAAAACATATTTTAATTTCAATGATACCCTTTGTCTTTCACACACTTAACGAGAATATTTTGAATCTTTTAAAAAGTTAACTTTCTGCCGCATCTCAAACTCAAACCCTTCACCTCACCGCCTTCGTCCTGCACCTCCAAAACATATTTTAATTTCAATGATACCCTTTGTCTTTCACACACTTAACGAGAATATTTTGAATCTTTTAAAAAGTTAACTTTCTGCCGCATCTCAAACTCAAACCCTTCACCTCACCGCCTTCGTCCTGCACCTCCAAAACATATTTTAATTTCAATGATACCCTTTGTCTTTCACACACTTAACGAGAATATTTTGAATCTTTTAAAAAGTTAACTTTCTGCCGCATCTCAAACTCAAACCCTTCACCTCACCGCCTTCGTCCTGCACCTCCAAAACATATTTTAATTTCAATGATACCCTTTGTCTTTCACACACTTAACGAGAATATTTTGAATCTTTTAAAAAGTTAACTTTCTGCCGCATCTCAAACTCAAACCCTACACCCCCTTTCCAAATCAGTTCTCCCTCTTTTTCTCCCCTCATTCTGCCATTTTTCTCTCCGGGTTCCCTATGCCAAGCTGCGTTCGTGTCGTGCCAAGCGTTCGTCCTTCGTGTTCGTCGCCGGAGAACTTAAACGCCGTTGGAGTTGCGGTCACAAACGTCCGCAGTTGGAGTTGCGGTCACAGACGTCCGCAGTTGGAAGTGCGGTCAGGTGCACAGAAAAACCGCATTTCGAACTGCGGCAAAAACAAACCGCAGTTCGATCTGCGGAAAGCACAGACCCACCCACCACAGTTCGAAATGCGTAAAGCACGTAGATCCCACCGCATTTCGATCTGCGGCTGAGACAAACCGCACTTCGCACTTCGAAGTGCGTTAGATTTTTAGGGTTTAGTTTTTTTATTTTTTTATTAGGTTAGTATATATTTATTTTATTAGGTTTTATTTTTATTAGGTTAGTATAATAAATTTAATTTTTTATGTTAGTTGTTAAATAAAATTTTTTGTTTTAATATATTTTGAATTATTTTATTTGTTTGTTAAATTTTGTTGAATTTGTTATTTTTCAACATATTATTATTTTCGTAATATATTATTTATTATGTATTTAATTTTATTTAAGTTTTTTAATTTTTTATGAAATTGAAATAATTATTAAATTGTTTATTGAATTAAATAATAATTATTATATGTAATGTTAAATATTATTTTGGATTTATTTGTAATAATTTAATTATTATGTATGTAATTTTTTTGGAATTCGTACCATAAAAACGTGCACATAAATATATAAACGCACTTCGAAGTGCGGTTAGGAAATAATATAAATAAGTGCGGTTATAAAACGCATTTCGAAGTGCAACCACTAGGAAACACACTTCGAAATGCGGTTAGAAAACAATTGATTAGGTTTTGACTTTTTATTAAATAAAGAATAAAGAAGTAAAATTGGGGATACAAGAAAAAGGCAGTAAGGTACAGGAAGAATCACTCAAGCAGCAATAGGTGGTGTTGAAGTGTTGCAATTTTAGATTGTCGAAAATTTACTTTTTCAATTTTTTATATATTATTTTTTTTAACGGAAATAAATACTCATGATAGTATTGGTCAATGTTGTTGTAACTACTGTTTTTTATAAAGTCTTCTCAATCAAAAACTTAATCTTGATTTTTAAAATCTTCAATTATGTGCCTATTGATGACAAGATTTCTTCTTATTACAGATTTGAATCACAGATTTTAATGTATAGAATCCTTATCCATTTAATTTTTATCAATATAATTCATTTCATTTTATTCTTTAAATTTTAGAATTTTATTTTTATAATTCAAAAACATACTTAAAATAAAATTATACAAATTATTATTTTATAATTAATTTTTATAAATATAATTTTAATATTTTTAATTTTAGTAATTATGATAAAAACTAAATTTTTATTTTTATTTTTCATATGAAAAAAATAGATACAAATAATGGTAAGATATATTTGCACTGGAAAACTAAACTAAATTGAATATATATATATATATATATACGTATACATATATATATATGTATATACATATGTATGTATATACATATGTATGTATATACATACATGTATGTATATACATACATGTATGTATATACATATATGTATGTATATATAATTTTGTTATAGTTGTAAAGAATTTTTAAATAAATAAAGTCATTTGATATATAGGCATAAATATGTAATATTTATACTGATTGAAAATTCCTATAAAGTATGAATAGCTTTCTTCTAAATATTATTTATATTATTAAATAAATATTAATATATTATTTATATTATTAAATAAATATTGATGAATTTTATTAATATTTAAAATTAATTGTTGACTTTCATTTTTAAAATAGTGTTTTATAAAACTAAAATTATAAATAATATGTTAAGGGTATGGAAATGGATAAAAATAATACAAACCTTTTAGGAAACTTAATTGATTACTGAAACCATTAATTCATAGAGATTTTGTAAATTATTAATGTTATTTTTTAGGATTTCATATCTAGTAGTATAATTAGGTCTTTAAGTACAATTAAGAAAAGTATTGCTTATTTATCTCAAATAAAAATATCTCTAAACATTCAAAACATTTTTAATAGTATATGATTGTAGGAGAGAAATATCAAGAGTTCTATATTCCTATGGAGGATATATCCCTAAGTTATGTCCAAATCATAAAATTCGGGTATCATATTATGGAATCTTTTGGATGCAGACTTTTCTTTTATTGTGATTGTGATAACATTTGTTTTGAAACAATATATTGAATATTAGAATAAAATTTTGTTATTTTAGTTATTGATATTTCAAGATTATATATATATATATATATATATATATATATTGAGTAAAGACATTTTAAACTCAATTTTGATATGATATAATAAATTGTGTAATAATATAGTTTTTTTTATTTTATACTAATATATAATTTTGTATTTTTTAATTTTAATATATTTTATATATTTTACATAGTAAAAAGAAATTTATATATTTATATAAAAATTTGATATTTTCAAAATATTTGTTTCGATCATAACTACTTCGAATTTTTATAATATTTATTAGTAATGTACTTTCTATTAGAAGATAAGTATTACTTTCAACATTAATGAAAAAATAATCTCAACTTATGAATAGGTCAAAATGGGAGATTTGTTGAATGAGCAAGGCATGTAGGTATTTAGAAGAAGTACATCTAATGAGTCGATGAATCACCATGAAGCAATGGAAGACTTTTCAAGAAGAGTGACTAGAAGTATCACTAGAAAGGAGACCTCTAACCCTACTTATTTGTCTTTATATTTTTCATTTCTTTATGTTGACCATAGTTGTCTTGACTTAAGTTCACGTGTTGACTTTTGCTTATTTGTTTTGTAGGATAAGCTTATGCCAAATAGGATGAGTATTACACTACTTGGAATGGAGGAGAGTCTCGACCTTGAATCCAAGCATGACATATGTCTTCTTTAATGAGTGGAGAACAAGATTGACCTTCTAGAAAGGAAGATCAAAGCTACACATTTAGAAGGCTTGGTGGCCAAGTTAGGTTTCTTTCATATCAAATTGTCACCTTTTAAACCTAATTTCTTTAAGCTTATGTCTTCTGTATTTGTACCTTTTTCTTTAGCTTTGTTGTTTTGAAAGAGGCCATTTTCCATCCTTATAAAAAAAGTTCTCTTAAACATTTGTAAGGGTTTAATACTTTGAGAGATATACTTTATATTTGATCATTGTGTAAGAGTACTCTCCTTTTGTGAGTGTCGT